AAGTGACAAATCGTAGAATTCATCGAAATGGGCCCTTCTTTGAATGAACGCCCGTTTGTTGATCTAACCTCACTTGAAAGCAGCAAGAGAAAATGAGGTTGCATGCTGATCGATGGGAAGGCAAGAATCGAATTGATTCGCGAAATTCACCGATTCCTTGAGTGCTGCCAAACCTCTTGGGAATATGGAAGCAAAGCCAATTTGAAGAATTGTGAACCAATCCTACATTGTAGGAACTCGACAACAGACGGCGAACAAGACAGTCGCGGAAGCAAGTTTTAATTAAGCCGATTTCTTTTCAGGTTGTAATGTAAAGAGAAATTAATCATGGAAGTGTCTATTAGCGGAAAGTTTGAAACGTAACACGGTGAGACGTAGAAAGGGAACGCGAAATGAAAAAAAAAGAAAAACAGTTTGGCGGACATGTAAATAATAAGTAAATGAATGCAATTAACCAGGCGAAATGAAGAAAACGATTCTAAGTCTTATGCATACAACTATATATATATATATATATATATATATATATATATATATATATATATATATATATATATAATTATGAAAACGACGGCTTTTAAAGATTCATGGTAATAGTTTATTTCGTTAGAATTGATCTCTAAAGAGAGAGAGAGAGAGAGAGAGAGAGAGAGAGATTCTAACGAAATAGACTATTGCTATGAATCTTTTTTTTATTATTTGGACTGTTATTACTTCAAGCTCTCCGAATCTATATCCTCTTTGGAATCATCGTTATTGATTGTCAAATAATATCAGTATTAATTATATATATATATATATATATATATATATATATATATATATATATATATAGAGAGAATGGATAGAATGGATAGATATAAAAAGATATATATAGGCAGCACGTTTTCGCTCAAGCATATTTTGTTAAATAATTTAGAGGTAATATGTATATTTATTTCAGTTTTAATCCTTTCAAGAGCACGAATTAATTTCTGGGTGGATGAAGAAAATTGATTAAGAAAAATAGTAAATTTTTCTTTCAAATAATTTTTTCCCAAATACCTACAATCTCATCTGAGACAATATTCAGAGTTTTCATATCTATGCGTTAACACCGCAAATAAAAATATTTTTACTTCAATGCAAGGGAAGTAACATGTGATATTTTTGTAAGTTATTTAATCTTTTTTTTTTGCGTTTTATCATGTTTATATAATACTTTGCTGAAACAAACATTTAAGATCTTTGTTGACATAGTCGCAGTTGACTTTTATTACTGGCCGCAATTCTCTTAAATAAAGAGCTTCCAGAATTTTAAGTTTTTGCTTAATATTTTCTTAATGGGGCACTGATGTATTTTCGATTAATGTCTGTCTAAACTGGAAATGTGAACACCAGTCTTGCTTTAAATGTACTGAGTTTGAACTATGATCTTTCAAGTGAAACATAAGTTTTCTCGTCATTGTCGTTGTTGTAAAACCAACATACCTAATTTTATCAGAGATGCAATCTCCCAAAGGACATTTAAATTAATATATGATGTTTGTTTTGTTTCGTAAGAGGCTATATATTTTTTTTTCCAAGAGTCGAAATATTTAGCACAGGTGTTGTACTCTATTTTAATGATTTTTTTTTATCGCAGATGTTTTTATCGTCTACATAAGTGCTAATTTTTTTTATACCTGCGCGAAACAAAAAGGAAAGGTAATTATTCTGTTTATTTTGCCGATATAGGGTCTTCTCGTGCGTATGAAATTTGACCCGTTTGAGTTTAACCACGCATTGGAGATGCCCATAAAAGAGCGAGTTCGCGCCTTTCGAGCGTTTTTGTTTATTTTTTTCTGCATCAATTCGAGACGCTACTGCAGGGTCTTTTCTTTTAGACATAGAGAGCGTGACGTCATCATCTTGTCCTCCTTCAACTCAAGAAGGTATATCTTTGCAGCAGCAGTACTGATCAACGTTTCCATGATAACCGACAAAGACAGAAAGAGGCGAAAGATCTCTTTACGATGAAAGCGGTTTTTTCATCGAAAATTTTATATTTTGAAATATCCGTCAGATTAATCCGAGATTTTAAAGCGTCAAATTTGAAACTTCTTTATTAACATCCTTAGTGGTCCTATGATACTTTTTATAAATAAAATACATCTCAGGTGAAGATATCTCATATATGCTTTTGGCTCCACTAGCTCCAAACATCCCTTTATTTAGAAGTTTGATGTTAAATGGCTTGGAATAATCAAATAGCTCTTAAACCTACTATTAGTGCAATTCAAGTACTATTCATTCTCATCTTACTGCTGCTCAAATTGTAAATAAAATTTCCCTTTCATATTTCTCTATACATAGAGCATTTTGCAATTTGTATCCTTCGCTGTCTTGTTTATATTGTTAACCTTCATATCGTACATGATGTCACTTGTTCTCGAAATGGAGGGATTTCTCGTTAATACACTATTAATTTGCACCTACCATCTTTTATTTCTAGTGTTATCGTAACATAAACTCTGGCGATCCCGGTGTCAAATTCTAATTTATTTTTCCTGTTGATCTTCTACACCAGTAATATCTTCACTAGTTATTTCGGATATGTTGGCGCTGTGTCTTCATGGATACAGCCCAACTGACAGAAGCAGGAGTTGATCCAACAAGAAAAGGAACGTCGCCGAAGGTGTCACATGCGGAGTCCATCCTAAATGTCCATTCAAGATCTTATCGGATGTCCTACTTGTGAAAAAGTGTGCAGTACCCCTGCTGATCTAATCAGATACACGAGAAGACATCCAACGTAAAGGGAACCGGCCGACATCAACATCGCACTCGGTCACATCTGCCGTCTTCAAGCCAAATCGCAGTCTCTATTTTTCATTGAAAGTTAAAAGCCATTTTTTTGCCAGGCGAACGGTTCTCCTGACACAAAAAAATGGCACAACGGAATGACCTCCAAGCCCGCTAATTATATTGTCTCCAGCATATAAATTTTGCCGACACTTGTCAGTGAAGGGAGATTAGTATTCTAACCCGAAAGGCTACGCCGAAGGGCGGGAGTCTCCTTCGGGGAGTAAAAACCGGCCCTGAACCCGTTATACGGGTTCAAAGGGGCTGTTACAGCCGAGACTAATGGCTCAGAATGCCCACATAAAAGGCCTTACTTTAGTTGACACCCTCGTGGGGAGGGTGACTCAATATCAGAATGGTGCCTTGAGCGGTCTCTGACTTCCACGCCTTCTGTCGAACTCTCTGCGTTAGCAAGAGGAACCAGAAAGGCCTTGCCGAAGGGCAAAGGTTTCGTCGAACAGGGCCTGAACCCATCAGGCGGGTGATGGACAAGCCGAGCCTACGGGCTCGGAGAAATGAATTGCCCGGCCTTGTGCCATATTCGTTTCCGTGGGTGGGAAATGATAAATACCGAAGGGGAGTGGTATAATTCGCTAACAAGACAAAAATCTCATTAACGAATTTGGAGAGAGTATCGTTTTTAACAGTGTTATGGGGTCCTCCCCTTTTTCATATGTGGACTCGACCAAAGTGTTACTTGGACTGCTGCCGTTAAATACCCAGAGTCAGTCAGAATAGAGAGGGAGTAAGAAGACTGGGAATGGGAATGGGAATGGGAATGGGAATGGGAATGGGAATGAGTTGGAGGTAGAGTAATAGTGTGAGGTAACCGATTGTAGAAGTCAGTTACAAGCACGTAGACTCTAAGGAAGTCCTACTTCGAGACTGTATATATCTATGTTATTATTGCGACTAACCGCGTTCCTAGATTTACTAACAGTATTAACCTTTGTATTATTGTGTAACTACTTTTAATTTCTTATCTTTATTTCTTGCTTTTGTCATTCATTGGAGACCAAATTTCATCTCGGAATCCACAACATATATATATATGTGTGTGTGTGTTTGTTTCTTCGTTTAGGACATCAGCGAACTACAACGAAACACGCCTCATGAAATATTTTGACCCTTTTTTCTTAGATTTTCCCTAAAATTCTGCTTGATACCTAAATTGTACATATCATTTTATATATATATATATATATATATATATATATATATATATATATATATATATTATGAGTCCAATTTTTTTATATAAGTGGACTCGACCAAAGTGTTACTTGGACTGCTGCCATTAAATACCCAGAGTCTATCAGAATATAGAGAGAGTGAGCTGAGATTGAGATTGTGATTGAGTTGGAGGTAGCGTAATAGTATGAGGTAACCGCTTGTAGAAGTCAGTACAAGCACGTAGACTCTAAGGAAGTCCTACTTCGAGACTGTGTATATATATATATATATGTGTGTGTGTGTGAAAATATATAGAAAATAGGAAAGAACTGGTTAGGTAAATAATCCAAAGTTCCTTAGTATTTTAGTTATTTTTAAAAAAATACTGCTCGATACAAAATTTCGCTTGAAGATGGAACAGAGCTTACTTTAACTCAGTTTAATTCAAATAATTATATTTAAGTTTTCGGCTCTTGTTTTGAAACATTAGACCTTTTATATCGAGAGTTGGAATCATATTTTTAAATAAATAATTATGTATATATATATATATATATATATTATCGCTATTAAGCGCGTTCCTGGATTTACTAACAGTATTACCCATTGTATTATTGTGTAATACATTTAATTTCTTATATTTAATTCTTGAATTTGTCATTCATTGGAGACCGTATTTCATCTCGGAATCCACAACAAACAGGAAATATCTCCTTCTTGCTTGTTGTTGTTTAGGCGGTTCAAGAACGACTGAAAAGACCCCCGCCACTTTATGCTTCTTTTGCTTTTGTTTTGCGGGGTTTATTCCAGTAAACTCGGTTCTATATCCTCAAAACCTGGTGTGACCGTTAGGAGAAATTGTGCGTGATCCTTAAACTTAAATTACTCTTCACTCATAATGTTTTAAGATGATCCAGTACAGTATTGACCAAAATCCTTGAAAAATAGGTACGTATCGCCTGAAAGGAAATTCAGGATTGTTACGTAGTTCTTCTCGTCTGTAG